GAAATATAAATAGCAACCCTCGTATGTGACATAATCAGTGGTCGGAAGTAGCACACTACAATTAGTGAAACTACTGTAGTCGCTAATTTTATATTCGTTTGTTGTGTAGGGTGACAAAAAAATATAGTTTGTAGAGATTCTTGAAATCTATTTTTTTATGTTCATTTAGTAAAGGAACAGGAATCTAACGCAACTAATTTATAGAATTTGATGGGAGCAGATTTTCGCGGTTTTGTTAGTGAACGCAATTTAAAATGTCCTGTGACTGTGAGAGAATTGTGCATTCAAAGAGTCGCATAACTAATAATTAAGCTAGCGATAACGAATAATTCATAATTTATCAGTTTGGTCATACTTTCGCACACATGCGAATGTATGCTTGTGAAACGCAGATGTCATTTCAAAGGTGGGAAACATATTTTCGATGTCCTAAATTTCTTAGAGGAAATAAAAGAGCATTTAGAACTTAACAAAATTGCTAATATTTGATGATATCCTAACATTTCTCAAATCAAAACTTCGCTGTCGAGAAATCATAAAATGTTGAAGGGCTACTCAACAAATTGAAATAATAATATCTCAGAATACAAACTGGCTCGTGTGAACAAGAATAAATATTTTATCATAATTCCTTATTTTTAATGCAAGCCAATTTTTCATTCAAAGCATTTTTGAACATGGCAGTAAATTGTTTTCTCCAGCAAAGTTCACCTCCTTAAAGTAATGAAGTAGTTGCTATTTCGAAAGTAGTTTGAAGTAGTTGAACTACATTTGAAAAAAAAAGTAGTTGTAGCTGTAGTTAACTGCATATGTAATAAAATAGTTGTAGTAAACTACAAAAATGTTGTAGTTTTTCCGACCGCTGTACATAACAATACTAACTGTGTATAAGTTATTTGCACAAGGTAAAACAAATTAACTTAAGCATACACTATCTACCAATAAGTATTTGGACACGTGTGATTGAAAACAAACTTTATTCATAGTCAATAGTTGGTGAACAATCCGGGGTATACTTTCCACAAGTCCTTGTGTGACGGCTTGTGGTATTTTCTTCCACTCGGCTAGGAGAAGACATGTAAGTTCCTTCACCGATTTTGGGCGGGTAGTATACCCCTTAGTTCGGCGATCCAACTCGTCCCAGAGGTTCTCGATAGGGTTCAGGTCTGCGCTCTGAACCGGCCAGTTAATTCGATCAACCTCATTAGCACCATGCCAAGCCTTGGTGACCCTCGCAACATGACAGTTGGCATTGTCGTCACGGAAGTAACAGGGGTCCACCCCGTTAAACTGCCACAACGTAGGAAGCACATTTTCTTCCAAAATAGTGCAGTAGGAATCGGCGTTGAGTTTACCATGAATGGAGACCAAGAGTCCCAATTCATATTAGGAGGGCGTGACGTATCTCAGGACCGCAGATAGAGTCATTTGCATATTGGTAGGTAGTGTAAATCAAAACTATATAAGAAATGAAATAACTTAAAATTTCATTTTTTTTTTTAAGAATTATTTGTTGCCTTATCATGTAGATTTACATTATAAGTTTAGGAAAAGAACTCTAACGTACCAAAAAGTGGATTGACTAAACTCAGTTTCAAAAGGTACAGTATACAAATTTAGCGAAACAAATTTTCAATGAATAAAATGAATCGAAAACTAATCAAAAATCTCAATTAGTTACTTAATGCCGGACAGATAATTTATCATAGGTTAACTTGAAAAAAAAATCCTATTTCTGTCTAAAATGGTTCTTATTTTTATTTATTTAGTTCTAAAATTTCAAATACTGCAATAGGGTCTATACTTAGAAATTAGAAAAATTCTCGTTAAATTGAGGTGATTGCTCAATGCTAGTTCATGATTAGTATTATAACTGCATATTGCTTTCAGATTTTTTTTTTTACTGAGAATTAGAAATATATGTTTATCTAACGTTGATTGTTTAACTTTAAAAAACTTTCTTTCTCTTCTTTTTGTCGTAATACAATGCTCCAAATGTTTATTCATCTCTATTTTCTTCAGTTTAAAAGAGTTGTTCAAAATTTTGAAATGATTTTACAGCATTAGAACTAGGCGGTATTTTAAATAAAGTTTCTTAGTCTGAGTCAGTGCCTTCCTTTTCATTTCTTTGTTTTCAAAATTGTTTTCAGTATTTTTCATGCTATTTTTCTCGTTAATTCCTACCGGAAATGAAAAATGTGACTGAAAATTGCAATTATGAAAACCTTTTACCTCGCTATTAAAAATAGAGGAAAAAAAGCTTTACCATTTTTTCTGCCCCCTTCCTCCGGGAAGTTATACATTTCATTAAATGAGGGTGTGCATTTCGTCAAGGCTTTATGAGAGCCATCCTGGCCAAGTAGTGACCCACCAAATATTCTGTTTAGTATGGAAGTGACGATTTAAATCTCGTCCAAATTTCGTAATTGCCTTCTCTAATTTGCTCTATCTGTTCTTCTACATAACAAAGGGTTATAAACATTTATTGAACAAGCAAGCCTGCTAATGTTTGTATCACTAATGTAATATTTATGTTTCATATTAAATTAACAAGAATTTTTATAAATGTGAAGTCATAGCTTAAAAAGCGTTATTTCTCTATAAAATACTCTGTATTTTCATAGAGAAAAGTTCATCACTTGCGTGCAAAACTTTGGTAGTCCTGTTAACTTCTTTGAGATGGTTGAGTCACCTATGCATTCTTAGGGTGGCGACATTAAAGATGAAAATGATGTAACTGATAACAAGTTTTTTTGGGTAGAATAATAGTAGTTTGACTTATTTAGTTCACCTAATCCAATACGAAAATTATATTGTTAGACTATTGCATTCATTAGATATATTAAAATTGAAGTGAAAGAAAAATAAGAATGATAAGCCCACATGCAATCTAACAATTTTTATTTTTTCCCATCAGAAGTCTGTTCGAATGCTCGACCGTCCCGAAGAGGTTAAGCAACTAATCAGATAATAAAAGGGAATTTGTGTGATTTTTCAAGTTCTGCAGGGAGGCTAATTGTTCCGTTTTCTGTATAAGGTTTTATTACGAAATAGAGATTTACAAACCAAACTCTCCGAATAATGGTGAATGTCACCCTCTCTTTAAGAGGCTCATTAAAAGATAATTACAAAAAAGTCTAATTTTATTAGAATTTATAGTTTCCGGCGGAGAAAAAAAAATACTAAATTTTTAAACCACTAGAGAACAAGATTGTTGACAAAGCGGAACAAGTTGGCATCTCTGTCTTGATACTTGAAAGGTGTTCAATATACAAGGATGATCAACTTAACAAATATGCATCTATCATGCCGTGGTGGGTCAGTGGATAGAGCTCTCGCCTCAAAATGAAGTCACCCCATGTTTGAACACTAACGACGGCTGGTCGATAAGAATTCTGAACCCGGTTTGCACCGACCACAGTGCTAGCTTAAAATATTCTCAGTGGTAGAGGGATAATATGTTGGTATTATCTTTCCATCAAGCTAAACATGGGAGGTTTCCGTGGTTTCTCTGACCATGTAAGGAAAGTGCGGATTAATTCCATCAAAAAAACTTCCACGCATTCAAATTTCTTCCAATATTTGATCCAGGAGTTTCCGTGTCTTCTGGATTGGTTTCAAAATCACAAGTCTTCGGAAATGAATTGAAATTGAAATGAATTGAATTGAAATGAAATGAATTGTTGAAATATTGGTAGTTGTAAGCTCAAATCTGGATCGGCTATTTAACGACGGTTATAGAAAAGTGTCTTTGTCTTTCATATAATTTTATTTTTTATTTTATTTTAGGGGTCAATATGAAGATTTCTACACCTCTACGCACACTGGTACGCACATGGATGCTCCGGCACATGTTGTCAAAGGAGGGATTACCGTTAATGAGATACCAGCCCAGTCCTTCTTCGGGAAAGCAGCTGTCATAGACATAACTCGAAAAGCATCACTTTGTCCGGATGCTGTAGCTAACGTTGAGGATGTCAGGAACTGGGAACGCACTACACAAAGGAGTTTGAATGGAACTATAGTTTTATTGAACTCTGGTTGGGGGCAGAAGTGGAACGACCGTGATGCTTTTTTCGGCACCCCAAGCGATGACCCCACAAAACTGCACTTTCCAGGATTCTCAGAAGAAGCTTGTAAGTGGTTAGCAGAGAATAGAAGTGTCATGGGAGTAGGCGCTGACACCGCGTCCATTGATCCAGGTACAAGCACACATTTTCCATGCCACGGTTATATTCTAGGGCGTAGGTCTTTTATTTTAGAAAATGTAGCCAACGTTGGTGAAATTCCAATTGCAGGTGCAATGCTTTATGTATTTCCTATGAAAATTGGTAAAGGTAGTGGAGCACCAACTCGAATAGTAGCATCGGTGCGCACTTAAAAATTGATGAACACGAGCAGTTTCAATCCGAATATCTAAAGATTTTTCAAAAAACTATGAAACGAAATCTTGTAGCACAATTAAGAATTAAATTTTTTTTTTTCATGAAACTAAATTAATTTTCTGATATTTGTCAAAAAGGAAATAAATTAATTTTGCTTTCAAAAAATTTGTATCGTACTCAATACATTTATATACAACGTTTGAACAAAATAGTGTAATTTTATTATATATAAGCAATAAAAATGTGTAACAGTTTCTGTATTAATGAAATTAAGTAGTTTTGGAATGTTTGTCGAAAATGAAGTCAAAAGTACGCTTAAATTAGAAGTTGTATACAAATTTTTAAATGTGAAAAAAAAAAGTTTCTTCAGAAATCTAAGGAATCAAATTTGATGAGGAGGGAATTGAGAACATAAAAAATTTCCTGAGAAAACAGAAAAAGGCTGTAAGGCAATTATAAAAAACAGAAATCGAACTGTTTTTGTGTCTTTTATTCTGCTTGCCTTTCTAATTTTTATTAAATTTCTATAAAAGTTTGTTTTCATCTATGTGTTTGCTGTTTTGTTTACTTCATTTTTAACAGGGTTTTGGTTTGAAAATGTATATTAAGGGCAGTGATAACGAAATACCCTATATACATTCCAAGAGCAATCTGAACAGTAACAAAAATGAACTCTTTTCTATGAACAACATATGAATTTCTTGAATATTCTTAGATGTCCGCATATATCTCATATGAGATTTACTTTTTCGGGATCTTGAGTGAACACCTTACTTTTCATTCTGAAATTAAAAGAAGGCGAAATTAAAACACTTTTCAATGAAAAAATTTTCTAAACTCAGTTTTGATGCACATTTCAATATGGGTTTATTGAGTCATTTGCTTATTTTTATTTATTTAATAATATAATTTTTATACAGCAATTAATAATTTATAACAATGATTTATTTTTTACAGCATAGTTAAAGTCGAATTTTCCAGATTAATAAAAAAAATGCAATAAAATGTAATCATAATAAAATAAATAATTCACAAATAAGTGCCCGTGTTTTAAATATTTATATTCCCAAACCCTTAACACTTATAACTATTAGTGATGAACAACAAAATAGAAAAAAAGGTCTTGTTTCAAATGAACAAATGTTTGATTATATGCCAACAAAAAAGGCTCTTTGGTTTGCGTTTATAAATTCATGCAGCGTTTTTGACATAAGTGATTCCCTAACAGTGTCTATAAATTTAAAAAGAAATAACTTTATAAATAAATAGTAAAAGAAATAACCCCTAAAAAGAAATAACTTTTAGCAAGGTTTGAAATGTCATGAGTTTAATACAGAATCAGTTATAATCCATGAGTCCGAAAAAGTGTACATAAGCTATTGAGAAAAAGAAGACAGTACAATATATATATATATATATATACTAGAGGGCTCCGCCCCCTGCTCACTGCCGCTCGCCAATCCCCGATAATTGCTACGCAATTACATTTTNTGACCCATATATATATATATATATATATACTAGAGGGCTCCGCCCCCTGCTCGCTGTGCTCGTCAACCCCCGATAATTGCTACGCAATTACATTTTTGTTCGCTTCTCGAACAAACTTAAAGTCATTTTCCTGGCAATTTTTCATCCTCCAACATCCCATAGAGAGAATATGGTTGGATTGTAAAATGTCACAGGTGCTTATTATAAACATTATAAACTAGTATAAAGCAATTTTAATACAAACAATGTTACAAACTTAGATAATGCGAGGAAGCAATATTATTTAGCACATTACTAAATGGCATTAGCCGGTGATTAATCTCCGTATTCGAAGCACGCGTGGCAGAGCCTAACTCAAATCATTGTTGATCTTATAGGATGCCGGACGCTTCCTATATGGTGCTTCATCTCTACCCCCCCCCCCAGGNTAGCCGGTGATTAATCTCCGTATTCGAAGCACGCGTGGCAGAGCCTAACTCAAATCATTGTTGATCTTATAGGATGCCGGACGCTCCCTATATGGTGCTTCATCTCTACCCCCCCCCCAGGAATTTAAATTTTAAACTGAAAACAATTAAAATTTTAACAATTGAAAAAAAATTGAAAAAAAACGTTACAATATGGCAAACAAATTAAAATATGTAATATTAATAAGTTGAAGCTAAGTAATATTTCAAAAGCAAATACCATTGCAAGTAATTGCCCAATTAAGTTCAATACTGGTAACTGACAAAATATTTTAGTTTCCATATGTAACTGAAATTCGACAAATTAAATTAAGCAATTCAATTTTTTCGTCATACTGAATACTAATAAAAAAAATATAAAATGAAATTATTATTATGTTATCAATAATCAATAAACATTTTTGTCAGAATTGTTATGAAAAAATGGGTAGACTATATTTGAGGATGCCCCTTGATTCTCGCCACGTTGAAACCTAATCGTGATTCTAATAGGTTTAGATTTCAGCTTTATTTTTAAATGTTCAACAGTATGTGTAATTTCAGAAGTCCGTCAGTTCTACGTTGGATACCGACTGGTGAGGTTACTTTTGCTTATGGTCAATAAGATCGAAGGTATGTGGGCAGTCATAAAACGGGACCCTATAAAAAAATGTCACCACCAGGCTGTACCATAGACGCCATTTTCGATTCGCATTTCACCGAACTTATGTGGTGATGGAGGTTCACAGATTCTATTCATGATAAATTTATATAGTATCTAACTGCTATTAGAAAATTCTGTGCACCTAAATCTGAGGATATTCAAGCTTAATGAAGAGGTGAGTTGTTGTTTTTTTCCTTTTCTTCTTGTGCTTACTCTATTAATTTTTGCTTCGATTCAAAATTAATTTTATTGTGTTAATTAATTTTGCTTATAGTGGGTTCATTACAATTTTATAAAGTTTTGGCCGCCATTCCGGTTACCACAGTGTTCTACGCAAACAAGAATGGCGCCAAACATGAGTCGCCAATTTCGCCAAGGGGCACCCTCAAGTATATTTTAACCGAAAAAAATAAGGTGAAAACAATAAAATTAAAATTAATTACAATAAAGCTCTGAATATTAACAAAACCTAGTTATGTACATTTTTCATTGATCTTTCTTTTCACACTATTTTCTAAACCAATGATTTGCTCTTTTATGCATTATTTAAGTAATATCTAAAACTAGGAGGCTCCGCCCCCTGCTCGCCAACCCCCGAGGATTGCTACGCAATCCTATGTGGTTCACGCCGTGAACCATGGCTCGCTGCGCTCGCCAATTAACACAATGTTTTAGCACAAAGACATAATATATTATCATCAAAGACATAGTATTTTATCATCAAAGACATAGTATTGTACTTATGTAGAAGAATTCTACCAATGTTCTTATTGGCTTTTAAAAAAGTATATTAGCTATTTAGATTGTACATGGTGAAAAAATCAAAACATTAGCTAAATAAGAAACATATTAGCAAAATAAATTATCAAATATTGCTTCACTAATATTCTGCATTTTAAAGCGTGAAAATTCAATGCATAAATAAACGCGAAATATAAAAAAATTCAATGCATTCAATACAAACACTTAAACGTTTTTTAGACGTTTAGGTAGCTCCCAGTAGAAAAATATCAATTCAACAGCGGCCTTTTAAAGCATTCTCACTTCAATTAATTAATTAATTCCTAATTGAGTTTAAATTAAATATTGTCATGTTTTTAGTGCATGAATCTGAATTGAACAACCTGATAATGCTCACTCTGGTTATTGTTATCTGGTTGCTCACTACGTGCTCTTGCGCGCCGAATCCAATCAATTAAAAATGAAAACTGTTGCCAGCACGAGAAAAGAAATATCATCGGTTTTATTGATACATACATACATACGTACGTATTAGCGTTTTATATAATATAGATATGAACGGTTAATTAATATTTCTGGTTGAGCAGTTTTTTGAAAGTAAGTAAAAAACAATTAAAAGTAAGTAAAAGATATTCATGCCTAAGATATTCACGGTGATTCATTTTATATAACAAAGATATGAGTATTATAAAGTAAACTCTGATAATAGAGGAATCTACATATTTCACACATTCAATACAAAATAGAAATCGCAACAAGATTTAGCTGATAAGTTTCGTTGTAACGCTTCTGCAGGCAGCATTATTAGAAATTATTACCTTTTACACACACATGCGTTCTCAATTTTGATTGGATATGTGTTATCATTCCATTCTCTTCTTATATATATATATATATACTGGGAGAGAGACAGCCGCATGTGCGTTTATTTGCCACTGTATTTTTACCTGACTGTTTAATCGTTACTGGGTTGGGTAAAAAGCTAAAAATTCGGTGTTCCGCAGGGCTATAAGCGTAGGGAGCTGGTTATGCAGAGAAGTAACGCATGACAGGTTTTTGAAAATTATTATTTAGCTTTTCTGTAAAACGTCCTTATCAAAGCAGACCAAATTAACAAAACCATTGACGCACCTAGAATTAATTATTCTCTCATGTATAATGCAAGCTAATTTCTTTTTCAAATCTATTTAAAATATCGATGTGATTTTAGTACTCCAGCAAAGTTCATCTCCAATAAGAAATAGAAGTAGTGACTACATTATAAAAAATAAGTTGCAGTCTCTACACAAAAAAAGGAGTTGTCGTAAACTACATTTGTAACAAAGTAGTAGCAGTAAACTTCGAAAACAATGTAATTTTCCCAACCTCTGACCGTAGTTTATTTATTATTTTACTACCACTTGGAAAAGTCATTCTCGATAAGATCAAAAGTTGGCAGGCTAGCGTGAATTAATTTTATAAAGTACAAAATAAATATCATACAAAATGAATTCCTCAGGAAGATCATTGGAGCCACCAGATTTTTAAGAACAGAAGTCTTGAGAAAAAACTTCAAAGGTGCCAGCATTAACGAGTATATCGCGCAGCAAAGTGCCACATTCTTCAAGGACGCACTCAAATGTGATAAATGTAATTACAAAAAAAAAAACTTTGAACTATTGGAGGACAATATAAAATAAATTCCAGCGACTGCATTCTTCCTATGGGTACTTTCCAAAAGATTTGGCAAATAACTGCATATGCTATGATAATTTCTCCTTTATTTCAAAATTGGCCAGAATATCTCCTGTGTACCTCGGGGTTTGATTCCCTGGGGAAGTCGAGGCAAGAGACCATTGTCATTTTACCACGTTTATATAAACTTGCCTTCGTGTATGTCTGTCCGGGTGGAATTTTGCAATCGATTTTAAACTAACTTCCCGACTGGCCACAAACTTGTGGCGAAATCATCGTACTTGATTCTAAAAGTTCATGCTCTGGCGAACCTAAAATATGCAATCTACGCTCTACGCTCAAAATAATTTTTGTTATCTATTTGAACTGAACTGAAGTTCAAGAAATAAATCGTGGTCATCNTGAAAATGAAGAGAAAAAAGACATACAAAGTAAAATCAAAGTAAAATTTTCGAGATTGTCTTTTGTTGTCGATTCCATTATTTCAAATTAGTATTACATGTCATTAAGTTCTAAAATAAATTCCAAACACGCGATGAACATAGAAAAACATTTTATTCTGGAGGAATTTGTACTTTCGAGATATATTAATAAATATAACCATTACCTTATTAAAGTCCGCCAACAAACTATTCCGAACATAGTTACTGCAGTCATTGATATGGTGATAGCAAATATAGTTACGATCAGCTCGTTATCTGAAACAGAGAAACAAAAGTATAAAAATAATAAGTAAATATTATTAGTAGAGTAAAAATAGGACTTCGTCTGCGCAGTCAAAAATAAATAAAGTTTCCCATTGTGATCATTTGTTATGAACACATTTTTAGGAAAAAGTTACTACTGGCAGGGTATCTTGTTGTGGAGAAGACTTTAACCGTTAACGGGCAACACGCTTGAGTATTTGTTTGTAAAAATGATAAAAACTCATTTTTTGTTTATAATTTATAACGATAAATCGAAGGTATTTTTATTGGCTTAAATATATTGTTAGGTCTTCCTAAAAATTTTGCTTATGAAGAACCCATTCCATTAAACAAAAATGCAAAGGAAATTAGACCGAATTTTAAAAAAAAATAAGTTGCCAGAAACTTGATAAGATTTGTCACTTTTTGCAATTTTCTATGCATTTTGAATTTTTACAGAACTATGCTAAAAATGAATAACAGAGGACTACTCTGTAAGCTTACTCTGTTATAAATACACAATTGGTTCAGAATATACTATGAAACTACATTCTTAATTGGTTATACACAATTAAGCATTAAATTTATATTTTCAAGTATTCAAGCGGTAATAAATAGAGCTTTAAAAAGTAGTAAATATTACTTGCAAGCTGATTAATTTTATATTTTTATGCTTGCTAAAAATACTCCTATGATATAAGAAAAAATAAATAAAATGACAGCGTAAAATTAAGCCATACATTTTAGAAATATCGATTTACTGATATAGCAACATATTAAAGGTGTAATAGGTTGCTATAATCTCAGTGAGCATCTAAATTTATTAAACGGTTGCAATATTTTTTTAAGTGGTAACACAGTCCATAAAAAAACGTCCCGTAGACCACAGGTAGAAGTTAACGCCAAAAAAAAATTCTACTGAAGAAAAGCATTGGAAGAAGAAACTAGGATGAATGACCGGTAAAAACTTACCGGAAAAAAGTACCTCAATAATTATTATACAAATTTAGCGCTCGATTCGATTCGGCTCGGGTTCAATTTAACTGAATAATTATTCAAGAGTAATTCTATAATGTTTTTTAAAAAAATAATCTTCATAATTTTAATATGTTAGTTGTTGACGTATGACCTTTCAGCAAGATGGGTGCCATTTATGACCAAGAATTAAATTTTAGCCACACACATTTATCACAGTCCGTTTTATAGAGAGGACACATTCACTCACCATTCATACTTTCGCAGATCGTAATTTTAATCTCAACCAGCACATGATCTATCCCGATCCCGAACTCCAATAGGTATTCGTTATGTGAATTTTGAGGTCTTTGTGACCCTTACAGATTTAGCGTGCACCATTCACCATATTATCCATGGGGAATCTTCACCCGGCGGTGATCGAACTCACGACTTCTTGGACATGGTCCCAATACCCAACTAATCAGAATGTCCTGGCAACTCAATGTGCAATAAATTTATTCTTGGTAAATTTTAACATACCAATGCAATAAGCAATTTTTTGTAAATGTAAGTAATTGATTTTTTATATATAGAAAAATTAAACTATAAAAACGTAAGATAAAGTACTTATCGTAAACTTTGAGCTCGGTCTTAAAATCTACAATAACGAACAAATCGCAATAAAAAGTGTAATAAGCAGCCAAAAAACATGTTTGATGACTCCAAGTAACATATTACTTAATTTACATCTAGTCTATCTTTTCGCTAAAAGGAACTAAGGAAGGGATTTAGATAGAAAGTGCTGCTTTCTGCAATGGATTTTTCACATATAGTCGAAGGATGCAAAGAAAAAGCTTCGCAGCTCTTCTGATTTCTACTAATTCTCGGATTAAACTTACCACGTGATTCTTCCAATGATTTTTTATCACAATGTTTTCCAGTATAGTCAGCAAAACACCTGCAACGACAAAGATCATATTTAGGAAAAATCATAGAGATCATATTTACAGTAAAAAGCATAGTTATAACAGCAACATTGGATAACATTTTTCTTTTCTGTTGCATGATATTTTTGAACAGATGTTAGATGCTTTTGCGTCTCTGATATCAAACCTGTAACCGGTTTCTCTCCACAAGCTACAATTTTTTTCGCTAATTAATTAATAATACATCACTAACCAGATTTTTTTTTGAAATTACCTCCAGTAATTATTAAGTGTCCCCACTTTTCCGCTGTTTAGGGAGAGGTACGACGAAGGCGATAGTAAATTTTAGTTTATGATGCGATGCGTTACAGTCATAATATTTTTGCCTTCAGTTTCGTTTTCAAAAATAGACAATTGTATAAACCTATAGGGGAGAGTGGGGTCAATGGTAACAGGGTACGATTGTAACAGACAAAAATTTCGAGTGTCGGGTTCTAGATTTGGTTCCTAGGTGGCGCATAAGGTGTATTTAATAAATCTACATATACACCCCTTCTGGCAACCATTTTTATGTACTTTTGAAAGAGTTACATCACAAAAGATATTTTCACGCCACGTAAGCACATTTTTGGTATTAGAATATTATATTGTAACAAAGCAATTTTGTTTAAACAAATAAAAATTATTAACCGAATATGTGAGTGGACACCTTAATTAACATTTCAATAAAAAAATTAGTTTTGTTAATTAACTAGCATTGTTTTTAACAAATGAAACTGAAATGGCGTCTTGGGGACGATTGTAACAATAGGTAAAGGGAAGATTGTAACAGCTGAAAATAAATAATCTTATGTTTACAAACCATTACTTGACTCTTTTAGAACCACCAATAGTTTCCTATATTATTTATATTATGTTGCATGTGCATTATTTTATTTGTCACCTTTCACAGCATAAATTAAAATTTTTAACCCCTTAAAGTTAAAAGTTTAACCCTTTAGGTCTCTGCTCATTATTATTTTTACTCCTAAAATATCACTACTATTTTGATCAATAAAAAAATATATCACAACTATGATAATATGTATAATTAACTATGTTTTAGTTGAATTTATGAACTGTTACAATTGACCCCGTAAGTGGGGACAATTGTAACAAGTGCACGACTGTCAAAAATTGTTAATAACTAATATAATAATATTTAAAATCAGGTATTTTTTTTTTTTTCTAGTAGAGGATAGTCTACTTTACTCGTCTGTCAATTAATACTAATAATATATTGGATTTTTTGTTAGTTAAAAATAGTTAAGTAAAAAATATTACAATTGACCCCACTCTCCCCTTCATTCTGTATAGCATTGTACAGTACGCAAAAAAAAAATGGACCAACCTTTAATAACTTTTGATCTAATGGTCGAACATACCTTTCTAGGACTCTATCTTAATGGTTTGAGGGGGTGACCACAAATATATACTAAGTAATGAGTGCAGACGATATTTTAAGTTACGAAATCAGACACAAAAACGTACTTTCTCTGAATAAATATACCTTTTTCCTGACGGATTCGAGTTTCTCACCCCCAAAATATTAGGGGTAGCTGCAATTTGGGAAATATAGTCCATACAATTTGGTCAGGAGAACGCTCCAACGTTTGGACCCCTTAATGTTAATTTTACTTTCTGCATATTTCACCGAATTGAAACATTTTTGCGCAAGCTTATAAAATTTGTTTAGTCACAAATAATTCCAGGCAAAAGATAAGTCTTTGTGAGTATTTATTATGTTTTTATTATTTTATTTTTACTGGTCGAAAAAATTTTGAATTGACCTCTTATATCATATTAAACAAAGTATTTTTACAAGGCAAAATACTTTTAGCAAAATTGGTCAAATAGTTCCTGAGAAATCAAAATTTAAATAAATTAAAAATAAAATTTTTAAAAAATAGCTTTTGGAAACAAAACTATTTTTGGATTTGAAATTTCCACACCTAAATTGGATTATAATGGATAAGGTAGTTGTTGCCCAGTGTCATCTCAGTTGATCAGCTCATTAATAAAGTATAGTTTAACCCTTTTTCTGCAGATGGGTGAGAAATACTTTTACCTCAAAGATGATAGAACATTTGTCCTTAAAACTAGGTATTATGCAATTAAAAAAATGAAATCTCATCGTATTAGATTGAAATCAAAATATTTTGATTATTTACACAAGGCTGCTAATTTTCGACGCATTGCGAAAAAAATTTCGGTTGTTAATGAATTTTATATTTAAATGTTTGTTTCTTTGTTTAATATATTTAATTTAAAATTAATTTTGATACCGCTACATGTGATTCATTCAACAGTTTATACAATGAACTACTTTTCTTCCGTTCTATCATGGCATTTGAAATGCAGTGAAAACTCCAGGAAAGGCCATCAAAACCTCTCCTAGAGATCGGGCGATTATCTGCACGAAATCTGGAAAAGGTCAATAAAGTGAACCGTGTTCGAATCCCAGCTTTGGCTGGTCGATACGAATTCCGCATCCGGCTCTCACCGACCACAGCGCTGACGTAAAATATCCTTGGTGTTGGACGGACACTGGGTTAGAGTCCTCTTGCCATCTAGTTACCGTGGTAGGTTTTCGTGGTTATCCTCTCCATGTAATGCAAATGCGGGTAAGTGCCATCAACAAAAGCATTGCACGAAAGCAAATTTCTCCCAATACTTGATCCTGGAGTTCCCTTGTCCTCTATATTGGGTTCAAAATTACAAGGGTAAGGAAATGAACAGTAATAGTCGTAAGTCCATAATTTTGTCGGCTGTTAAACGATGGTTTTAAAATTCCGTATCCGTTGTATCTCATAGGAAATGTAAATGCGATTTCTAATTTGTGTCTCGAAAATATTAAAAATGTTTAACTTTAGCTTTCCAGCTATTTCTGGAACTCAGACACTTCAATTATTCATTGGCTGGAAAATAAGAAAAGTTTATTTGGGCAATTAAAATGTATATAATAAATGATTTTTTGAATAAATGTAATCTAAATTTAATTTTATAAAAATAAATTTAAAACTAAATTTTGAAACTAAAAACATTAAATTGAACCAAAATAAGCCAGGAAAACTAGAATAGAAGAAGAGGGGCAATTAAAATGGGTATAAATTTAAATTTTACCTGCATTTATAAGAGTGGCCAAAGATTTCACATTGTCCATGAATACATTTTGATGCATCACAAATTGCTGGAAAAAAATATATGAATAAAATTAACTTTATTCAAAATACATAAGCATGTCCTAAAATGCTATTACTTTATAGATATGAACCATAAGCTAAAAATCCTTCATTATGTAAGGGTTGCCATGGTTTAAAACAATTAAAAATTACTGAAAATCTAGGGAAAACAAAATCTTTTATCTCCTATAAAACAGAAAATATTTTTATATTATGAGAAACAATCTAAAGTTTAGAACTGTTTTCTTATAACATTTTTAGTGAAATTAGAACCAATGAAGTTTCAAAAAGTTCCATAATATTTTTCTAACATTTGCTTAAAATTATTTCCATGCCGTAGCAATCTATTTATATTGAAGAGCTTATGCGAGATATTGATATAGGCAATTTTTTTATAGCCTGTTAATATGTAAAAGTTAAGAAATTTTTTATCATTTTTTTGCCGAATTTATAAAACCATTGATGTGGCAGGATTCGAAGACGCCACTTCTGCTCTATGGAGTGTTTGGCGAGGCAAGAAGGCTCGGTAGTATCGGTGAACTGCTGAGATAATAGACACTTTATCAGAATATTCACAAGGGTTCACACAACCACATCCCAATTCTGATATGCGTAATTGTAAGAAACATATGCTGCCAACTTTGCCTTCTCTCATCTCCAGCACAAATGATAAATGTGTCGACCACTTCTTTTTTTTTTTGCGTTCTTAGCACATTCATTGTAACCCTTACATTACAAACGTGTTATGACCAGCTGCTCCGGCCTATCTTCCAGATCTCACCAACTATGTTTTTAAGCAGGAAAATAAACTACAGCATCTTGCCTGCACTGTCCTGACTTTCCTTAATCCAGAATATATTTGACTGTTGCCATGACCGACACTTTCTTCTGAATAATAGAAAACGTGTGGTTAATGGTTGTTGAATGATTGTCATCCCATCTCTTACTAATAACTCCGGTCAATAAACTTTAGCATTTAATTGAAGCTATATTGACTGAGGATCCCCGAATCTCCATACAAACTCTGCATGATGTTTCAAACGAATGAAAACAGTTTTTTTTCCTGCCAGAGTTGCCAATGTTTACTGATCGCATGTTTCTTGCAGTGTCTTGACCTTGCTTAATTTCATAACTTGTTAGACCATCCAGAACCCTCAATTATTTTTGAACAATCGAAACCGTCTGCTCAATGTTTGCTCATTGATTGGCGCATTATCACTTACTAATATTTCGTGCCAATGAAATGCATTGAAACTGCGTTCACTGAAATACGTGTGTTCATTGGTTGCCGATGAAGTAGTGCTTCATTACTTTCTATTAACTTATGTCAATGAATTGTGCATAGCGGTGAAGCTGTGTTAATAAGTTTCCTAGAAATGCCATACAGTCTCAGTATGACACCCTGAATAAGAAGATTATAGCAGAGATTCCAACTTAGTATACCGATTTTCCAATATCTTTGCATCCTAACTCTGAGTAGTTAATCACTTGTACTATAATTTTAGTTCAACTAAACATAATTTTCTGATTTTAAAATTATTTAAAGGGTAGAATATTTAATTACCAACAGTTTATTAAGTTTAAATTTAAGCCTCGTTGAATGAGAAACCTGTTTTTTTTTCAATTGATTCTGCAATTGAAAATTTAAATTAAATGTTTCTCTTAGTATTGATGTATCAATCCGTTTAAAGAAATAGAAATTATTATAAATATTTTGTGGGTGTTGATGATGAATCAACACCTACCAAACGCCATGCTCCGTTGGTTGATTTTCGTCACTGTATTTATCAAAATATGATGATATGTGATTGCAAACTAACAATTAATAAAAAGCTAAATTTCATATTTAACAATGTTATTCGTAATAAACTAAACCAGTATTTAAAGATAGTTTTAAAACAATAACTATTTCAATTGAATTGAAGCCTGATAGTTTGATTTTGAAATCAGATGCAATAGCTAGTTAATTTTAGTTAGGTTTAAATATATAACTACTTTTAAAACTAAGTAAGTTCGTCATGCATACATTTTTATAGTACATAAAAAATATTTTCGATTAAGCACTAAATTCTAATATAGAAAACTTGCATTACGAAAAATATTTTTTCTTACTTTTACAAACCCCTTCTTGGTATTCTTTATCAGGAGGACACTCACACTGAGGTAATCCATCGTGTATCACACATATGCCGCCATGTTCACCACAAATGTGGTCTAAATGCCTACAAACATTGTTGACTTCACATCTGTCTCCACTGTAATCCGCATGACATTCGCAAAAACCATCACTGCTATTATGTTTACAGATACCACCATTTTGACAATCTACATCATAGCTGCATGTTTCTGATAAAAAAATAGTTTTATTTAGTTATAGTTTTATTTAATAATTTTAATTTTATTTATTTAGTTTCCGGTTACAAAATTTTATGAATTCTGGTTTTAAATTCTGGTTAGAGTTTATGTGAATTCCACTTTTTTAGGTTGATAACACTTGAAGAAATATCACCTGAATGTTTATCGCTCACGTAATCTCTTCATCGCTACCAGCACTGAGCATTCGCCCTTTTATTTTATTTAAATAATACTTTGGAGCACTTTCTTCTATTGCGTAAGAATTTTTAACGCTTACGCATCATAGATTCTGACTCTACAGTCAGTTTCTCTAAACAAGATACAATTTTTATGCAATTTAAAACTGTATATTCCTAACAAGAAATTTTTAAAATTCAACCAAGTTTCCTCACTTATTTGATAATACATTCCTGATTGTGAAGCGATAAGTTAAAGTCATATTTGTCTTGTATTTAACACTATTTTCACCGCAGCGTTATTTTCTTCCTATTTCTCGTATTTAGCACAGCAGACAAGATTTATATGTATATATAAATCTATACTTTCTTTATAAACTTTTACATTCAAGTAAAAGATAAACTAAACTAAAAAGAATATTCTTAAAAAAATATTCATATTTCAGGACAAAACTGATATTACACTTGAAATCCTCACACTGCAATTAAGTAAGATTAATTGCTTGTTTAAATTCACCAAAAAAAAAAACTGGTTCCTATTCTAAAACGTTATATAAGAGATGGTGGACGTAATTCTTATATTTCAAATTGATTAAAATATTAATACTTTAACTATACTACCACTCGCACTCGGCAAGGTATTTTCTGAAAATATGCATATTTCGCTATCACTTTTTAACCTGATAACACCAATAGATAACTTTTTCACTATCCCAAATAAATTCAAACTAAATAAAATTGCTTAATGCATTATCTCTCTATATTTGTCTATGTAAGGCTTTTCTATGTAGCTCATTGATTTCGAAGCTGCAAAGGTAGTTCAAATTTTTAGTGAGACTTTCAAAAAAGTAAATGGCTGGTTTTGACCATCATATCCTACATAAAAAATTCTTCACTGGGTGTTTTATAAGTATAGTCTGATCAGACTATCTAAAAACCAAACTCTGTTTTAAAAGTACCGATTTAAACATTTGATACGGAGTACGTAGCCAGATGGGCTATCTGCTCCGTCACCTAAGTTAGGATAAAAAGAAATTAGTGAAGAAGGGGGTAGGATATATTTACGTAAACGTAAAACTTAATGGGAATTATTTTTTTTAAAGTAATTGAGAAAAACTTATATAATACAAAGCAATCATATTCAATAAATTAAACAAATTTTTAGACATGTATTTTCTATCACTTTCTTATTTTCATTAGATTTTATAAAAAACTAGTGGGCTGTGCCCTCTGCTCGCTAACGCTCGCCAACCCCTGAAAATTGCTACGCATTCTTATATGGTTTCCTTTGAAAAACCAAGCTCGCTACGCTTGCTATTAAATTAGGTACATTGTTTTAAGTTCTTAGAATTTTGTGTATTTGTAATCATTCAAATACATGTAACAACTTTTTTTTAAAAAAAAATTACATCTTTTCAGCAAATACTAAGTCATTAAAATAAATTTGAAGCCAAATGACATGCAATTCGTTAAACCTATTAGAAATGTGCTATAGTATAAAATCTTAAGATAAAATTTCTGAAACTGATATCTCTTTAAAAAGGGTAAAATTTTGGCTATAATTACGTCTATTAAAAATTGAAATAAGTGAATTGCAATGGAAAAACCTGCATAAAAAAAAATTCTAGTAAAACAAATAAATATGTGATGTAAATCAAAAATCGTCAAATAAATTCGTAATATATAAATTCGTGAAAAAAAAGCGTTTTCGACAAAATACTAAAATAGAGATCTATCGGGAAAGACTACTCACTTCTGCCTAGCTTATGCTCTCTCTGGTTATTTTAGTTTTCGTTTTTAAAAGCGCTATATGTTGAGCCATCTCAGCTAGATTTGGCATGTGACATTTTTAGCGGCAATCATTGGTCGATTTTCTAGCGTTGCCATTCGGGAAGTTGTAATGAAGGTTTTTTTTGTCGCCGTGTAAGAGAAATATATATTTAGATAGCTCTTCCGTTAGCTTGTTTACCTTCATAGTGGTATGATTGGACTACCTACAGGAAACCACGTGGAGGCTTTCAGTTGACCTATTTATGCCTACCGTCCTTACAAATGGGACTTTTGCTATTTTTTCACTTTAAAAAGTAAAAAGTGGTAGCACAGTTTATTCGCGTAGCATTCATTTTATAATAATTATTATTTTGTTTATGTTTGTATTTGAAGTGAAAACACTAAGTATTTTCAAGCTTTATTGAAGGTAAACCTATAAAAACATACTATTACATAATATACAGGTACCAGCACTTTCCTCAGAAAGGTAAGTTTTAAATCATTAAAAAATTTGTGGTTGAGCATAAATGAAAAAAAAATAGAAAAAAAAATATTTCATGTGCTTCATCATTACACGGCTTTCGTAAGAAACAAAAAGGACACTACTGATATTTTTATACGATCGTCTTATTGTGAGACTACTAAAAAATACTACTAATAATAATCTTATATGTCGGAGTTTTATTATTATGTCTTAATGTGTACTTTTTAATTGTGTATGTGTGTCATTAATTTTTCATTGCATTTGCATTTCAAATTTTCGAATTGTTTGTTCTTATTTTGTTTATCCATTATCGGGTCTCGGAACACAGTCAGTTTTTGGTATTACCACTGACGATAGAAAGGTGTGTTGACAGGCTGTGTGTCCCCTGATGAAGTACTATCTTGCTAACACACATATGTTATTACATTTTTAGTTTTCTGCAAGAATTTCTGACCTTCTAAAATACAAATTAATACACTAATAATTAGTTCTAATAGTTGAAAACTGAAATTAAAAAATATAGTTTATGTGATATTGATTACAAATGAGTTTATTTTACAATTACTTTTTTTCGCCTTTAATAACAGCGTCAAAAAAAGTGACTCGTACCAGTTTTACAATAAATACTTTATTGGTACTGCAAATATATATTTAAAAAAAATATTTTTTCAGTGTTACAGAATATATAAAAAAATATTGTTATATTACTCTGTAAATAATATTATTTCTTTACAAAAAACATGGCAAAACAATAAATTTTAGCAATAAATATTTATAAAAACAGAGCTTACTTTTACAAGCTCCATGCATTTGGCCATAACCTTTATTGCACCAGCATTTCTTTTCCAAGTTTCTTCCAAAAGAACAGTTTACAGATTTCTCACCACAATAGCAATCTGTTCAGAACAATTAAAAGCTGCGTTTTTGTTACATTTTTACACAATTATGATACGTTACTGGAAGCTCATGAAAAGCTACACAAAGCGGGCAGGAAACTTGAAAATTTTTAGTATTTGCTTGGCAAACTATTTTTATTCTGTTTTTAGAAAGTCTTTATTCTGTATTTATTTTTGGTCGCTATTAAACATTACTGCTATTAAAAGAGTTTTTTTATCAAATCGTTCAAAATTATATTGAGAATATTTTCAAACTTATTAATATAAATTTTTTATTTAGTTTTTATTATGTATTAAATATTTATTTTAATTATTAATGGATTTTTAATTTTTAATTATTATTTACTTTTAGTTTTTATTATTTATTAATATCTATAAAAAGAGTAAAACTTGCTCTGCGAAGTACAGAATACCTCGTCAAGAAAAGTTGCTTCTATTTTATCAAGAGACATAATAAAAAAATAATTATAAGTTAATTATTTACTTAGAGCTTCCAACTCAGGAGTTCTTGCACATAAAAATTAGATTTTTGAAATTTTTTAATCACTCAACCTTTTGGAGACGGGTGAGTTCTCAGGGTGGAAATAATCAGGGTAAAAAATTATAACTGGTAGCCAAATTATTTTGTTAGCAGTTTTGTTTGTGGATGGCGGCAATTTAATAATTAGACATAATTCCCCACTTCTTATTTTAAAATAAAGAATACATATTTACACTATAAGCAAAATTGCGAACTCATGCTCAAGAAAAAAATCCCTAAAAGGTAGAACTCATAATTATTTAAATTTATTTTTGATGTTTTCTCCGCAAGTCGTGTTTATATCCACCTCCCCCTCATCTAACTTATGCTTCGTCAATTTTAACTTCATATCAATCAAATGAATGAGCTAGAGCCTATTCACGGGGCTGGGACTCAGATAATTAACGTATATATGAATAGGGGTGGCCAACTTGCTCCCGACATCAAATAAATATTTTCGAGTGGTAGTATTTCAATGAATGATACTTATTTTAATAAATTCAATTTTTTTTTATTTTTACTCATTAATAAATTCAAATTTTCTAAATAATTCAAAGGCTTTCGCGATATGCCACTTTGTTTCAGTAAGCCCGTATGGAGCCTGTTAAAAAGTCGGCAAAATTAACCGCCAGTCTGCTAATTTTAGTTGGTACTTCTTCTCTACCGTTTTTTAAAATATTTTGTCGAATCCAGAGAAGTTGGCATCTCTGTAAAAATTAACGTGTTAAAATTAGACAGAAATCAAAATAAAGTCAGTCAAATTAACCGCGTCCGTTTTCAACATAAACACATAATGACATTATTTAGCCTAACAAGGGTAAGAGAGATGACTATTTTTCCAGTTATCATCTCATATGTTATAATCATTTCTTCCCTTTCGAAATTCGCTTTTTTTTTGTAATTTAGCATAATAATCAAATGCATCAAAAAATACACGTAAATTATGTTGAACCATGTTTTCATGATTGTCATGATGAGTAGATTAATTTTATCAATACTACAAATTTCAAAGAAAATCAGTTTTCTTTATAAATCAAATTCAATGCTCTTGAGCTTCGCATTTTAGTGAGGAATAAATTGAAAGGAGTGTAAAATTAAAAGGAGTACACGAATAAAATATTACGTGTATATCATTGACAGATACCGGTTTTAGACGAAGTGAATCACACATACTGTAAACATGATTTAAGAGTTACATAACTTACCAACGCAGACATCATTCATTTGTGAAAAACCAGTCTCACAGGAACAAATTTTATTCCCTTCGTGATTGAAATCGCAAGATAAAGAATGAAGTCCACAATCACATGCTGTAATTGAAGATAAAATTGATTGAAACTGCAAGATAAAGATTGATTGATTGATCTCATTAAAAACAATTAGTTTGAAACCGCGGGATAAAGAATGACGTCCTTAATCACGCGCTATAATTAAAAAAACAAAATTGATTAAAGACGCGAGATACATTATGTCTTGAATCATAAATTGTAACAAAAACAAAATTAATTAAAAACAAAATTGTTTGAAAACATAGTATAAAGAATGACATTTTCAATCACACACTTTAATTAAAATAAAACTTGAACTAACAATGAAATGTTTCACAGCTCCCCCTAGGTCCCTACGCAGTCTGATCAAATTTTAAAATTTTCAGTTCAACAAAATAACCATTAGCTGTGGTAAGTATCATTTAATATGATGCTGCTGATTTAGGCCTTCTCATGGTAGTTTAAATTCGCCAGAATCAAACAATTTCCTCTGGAAATAGCTCTTTTGTTGGACCCTAAAACGACTGTTGCAACAATAACTATATTTATAAAAAATCACATCTATTTCCATAATACCTGTATTAGTCATAACTAAAATTAATTAAGTTTAATGGAGTCAATAATAGCATAGGGATTTTTGTACGGTATTTATAAAGTACCATTTTTCTATTAACCTTTGTCGTTTACTGCATAAATAATATTTCTTTATTTCAATCACTATTTATTTTAAATTACTTATTTTTATACAAAAGTGTTTTAAAAGCACAATTATAAGCAAAGCAACACATGGTTTCAGATAACTTTAGAAATACAAATTCATTGACGTAGCTTTCCAATTTGATTTACGATGAGTTGATATAGTTAAATATTATAAGGAGTGAAATAAATTCCTGAACAGAATTGTCTACAGTTTAATTTATTACAATGGCTAATGTTGAACTAAGGCAAATAAAATCATTTTTTATCAGCTTTCCAGAAATGAAAAATAATTAAAATTTTTAAAAGAGTTTTAGTATATGGGGATATGATTGCTTTTTGTAGCCTATGTCTTAGTTACAGGGCCCAAGTATAATTGGTTTTGGGGTTATAGCAGATTTGATATTAGTACAGCAGACAAAAAATTTTCAGTAGACACAAAAAAGATAAGAAAAGATAGGCTTACTTGAGTATGTTGTTTTTAAGGAAATATCCGTTTTAGGGGGAATAGTTGATTCAGTTGATTCATGAGCTGAAACAGAAAACTTTTTAATAGTTAAATCTGAACAACAATAAACCTACTTACTTATCATACATTACAAAACATTTTTATAAAAGCCTTGATTTAAAGATCTTTAAAAAAATTTTAACGTTTTTCTGATTTTTTTAAGAGTCAATGTAAAATAACTGATTGCTTATCATAATTATTGCTCGAATTATCTTCCAATGTAATTGCAATTGAAATTGGGCGAAGTTTCCAATACTTTTGTGATCATTGCTTGGTAATCCTTAGTTATTTGCAGCTGTCGAAAACACGTGTTTTTGTATTTTCTAAGTAAAACTGTATAAAAATGCACGTATTATTAAGTTTTACCATAGATAAAATATATCTTTAAAACATCCTGGCCATTAAATTTTTAAAGTAAGGCCTAATTATAGCTAAATTATATCAGATAATATGCTAATTTTTAGCTGAATGTAGTCTTAAAAATTTTCATACATTAATGATCAATTTGAAAATATTTAGTAATCAAGGTTCTCAATAAATACATTCATTGTAATTTTGAAGCAAAATAAAAGTTTTGTATGCTTTAATTAGAATAAGATATTTTCTGTTCTTGAGAAAATGTAATCTTGTAATTTTATCAATCTGAAAGTCATGACAGCTTCAACTGGTTGAGAAATAGTGACAAAAAAACTTATCCTCCAAGACAAAGGCAGCAATCCTTAGTAATAAATTTCAATTTAGAACAGGCAGTTGAATTTACTCCTTTATCTCTAAATTTCTTATATAATAAAGGTAGTAAAATGAAATACACATAAGTGTTGCTTCTGTTTTAATGTTTTCCATTTTTTTTAAAAGCAAAATTGCAAATTTTAAGTTTTAATAAGTATTCAAGTTTTACTTAATTTTATACTTGAACTAAGCCTTGAAAATTATTGTTATCAAAATTATTGTTACCAAAAGTTTATTCATTCCATAATTCATGATTTATTCGATTTATGCGCGTTTTTTTTATTTTTATTCAAGGCAAGAAATCTTTCATAATCTGAGAATGACGCTGGTACGAAGAGATTGAAATCATGGAAACGGTTAAATTACTCGAATAAAACCTAACATCAAATCAAAAACCTAAAAATGCAATCAACCTCGATCCGATCCCCTGATGCTGCGATGACACTCTGAGGGTAGGAAAAAACCCTGAGAGTGGGACAGCTCTTTGAGAATGGGGTGAGGCTCGAAATATGAAATTAAATATATATTTTTAATAACATTTTTCTCAAAATATCCCTTATGTTTTTATTATGTTTAACTTTTTCATCCGAAATTTATTATTTTTAAAAAATTTATGATCAGAAGAACTTAAAAGCACAATCACAATCAATAAAGTAAAAACTTCCTAGAAAACAGATATAATAAGAGACAAAAATTAAATAAATTAAATAAAATACATATGAAGAAATGAACATTAACAAAAAAAACTCACTCTAAAACTTAAAATTTGTAAATCTCAATATTAAGTAGCCAACGTGTTTAATGAATTTTAGAAATAATTTTTTTAAAAAAAATGTAAGGAAAAGTAGGGTAAAACCGAGTATCTAATATTCGAAAGCGTGTTGAAACTAAATTGTTCGACCCAAAAACTGTCAGATTTAATCAAGATATCGCACCCTTGCAAAAAAAGTGACTCAAGTAAATAAACAGCAATTTTGAAGTTATGTCAATAAAAAATATGTTTGAAGTGTTCCTTCAAGCTCAAAAAGTGTCACATCTCTAACTCGCAATTTATCCAGCTGAGGGCAGTTGTGTCAGTTCTGAGTCGAATTCAGAATAAGGGTTATCGTATTAAGTTGATTTGTCTCAAATGCTGCATTTTAGAAATATGACACTTGCCAAGGTGCGATATTATTTGCTTAGTTACGTGTAATGTATCATTCTTAAAAAAGTCATAGATGCACGAATTTTTTTTTATAAGTGATTTTTTTGAGGGAAAAATCAAGTCAAATTACCTCATCTTACCCGAAGTATTCGCAATATACAAGAATTACTTTCATTACTCATATTTCACTAGGTCTTTAAAAAATATTTTTTTAAATTTTAAAGCAATAATTTTGCAATAATTTTCAATTAGTTCCAACAGTTTTATTTCATACCTCTCTTTCTCTGTCTCTCATATAACTAAAGATATAACTATTTGCAAATTGATATGTACATTTCATATCAAGGGTTTTAAGGGAAATTTATATAAAAGTATTACCAATTAGAATACAATGGCATATTTTTGCAAATAACAGTCTTTATCCAATTGTGAATATTTAATATGGAAAATGTGAGCGCAATTAGTTGAAAATTTAGGCTCAAAATATGGTTTATATATTTCGACAATGAAGATGCAATTTTGTGACACATAGCTCATTTTAAAATGACACAGATATTTATAATTTGAAGAGAAAGAAATACCCGAAGGCATACTCACAATTTGTTGAAGTAATCCTTTCTGGTTCAGTTGCTTCCGGTGTATTTGAGACTTCTAAAAAATAAACTATGTTGGGTATAAAGTATAGAATTAAAACAGAACTATAGACACGAGATTTCCATACTTTGTCAAAGATAAATTTCGTTTTCTAGAGATTGATGAAGTACATAAATATTATTTAGCTTAATTATTTTAAAATTAAAACTATAGACTTTAATTTATTTTAATAGATTTTCACAATTTATTAGGCAATTATTAAGTCTATTAGGTATCCTTGAATAAAGGATCAAAAGAGCTTAAATTTTCCCTCTCGCTAATGCATTAAAAAGGGTTCCCTACAAATCAACTCTAACAAACTTGCATATTTTATCAATTTTTGAATTATTTAAATTTAACGATGAGCAATGTAACTTTGAATAAAATTTAAGAATTCGAATTAGATGTTTTTACTACCAGAAATAATATTTCCTCAAAGTAAAACTAGGGGGCCTACCTGGCCGAACGGTATCTCCCTCCAAACGCTCTGTTGAGCATAGAGGAGGCGGGTTGGAATCACGCCGCAACCCTGGATGAATTGTTTGCCGTGCCCTTCTCTGTATTGGGCAAACCTGTCCTACTTGACAATGGTTTGTAAGCCTTAATTGAGCTTACAAGCCTGCAAATGTTTGTTGCACTAATATATAAATAAAATGAAGTAAGTTGGCATTCATGTTGAAGATACCTTTTTGCTACGAGATTCGAAGTATTAAGATAGTGGAGAAAACAAATGACGCACAAATAAGAAAAAACCAAGAGGTTAAGTTTCAAAGATTCAGCTTCTTCAAAAAGTGCCAAATAATTTTTTTAAAGAAGAATTTATGCTAAAAATTTGCGTTAGAGGTTTTCAATTTTTATTTTAAATATTAACAAAACATAATATTGATGCATAATATTGCATCTTCTTGAAACAATGGGGGACATTTGCAAATGGGTTGATAAGTTTCGTATATTATGCAGTTGGCTGAGAGTTTTATGCATTTTTCTTCATTCTTTTTAATACGGCATTTGTTTGATATAAAAATTAAATTAGATTTCAAGATTTCATGATTTCAATTTACTATTTCATGAATATAAAAAAAAAATCTGCTTTTATTGGAATGAGCTTTCATAAGTTGCTTTACATGCAACCTGATCTTATAGCTGAACTCAACAATTAAAAAAAATAAATAAATAAACAATAATTGAAAATACTTACGAATGCAGAAACCCGTTTCATCTTTATCGTACCCGTTTTCACAATCACAAGCATAACCTTCACTTAAATCTAGTCTTTCAATACATCGAGCATTAAGCTTCAAGCATTCTTTGTTTTTACCTCCTTCTAAGCACATTCGTTTGACTAAAAAACATAAGTTATTGTTGAAAACCATCAATCTTAGGGGGGATACAGTAAACATTCATAAAATACTCGAAGCTTTATAATCGCAGTTTTTTATTTTGTTAAATATAATCTGCGTTTTTTGTTTAAATATTGTCTAACTTTTCATTATTTTCACTACTTCCGCTTTGGTTTTCATGGATTATTTTGTTTCAGGTAGAGTTATAAAGGTTTTATTTGTAGATTCTATATACATTCAAATATCCAAAAGAAGTGTACCTGATAAAAGTTATTTGGTTTTCGAAATTTTCAGAAACTTACAGGTGAAAAAAAGAAAGAGAAATTTGTTGCAAAAGTTGGCAATGTAAAGCTCTGAAAGCTCTACTTTGTTGTTCACATAAACGAAAGATGACACTGCACCGTAAACGACAGTTTAAAACGGAATTCTATTTTACTGCAATTGCGCACAGTTTCATTCTTTGGGGAATCGTAATTTATTTTCTATGCTCTGTGCTTATTACAGCACTTCCAATTTGAAATTTTTGTTAATAATTGTCAATCAGAACTTTCACCTTTTCATCAATAGAACATTTAAATTTTGTGTACGTTTGCAGTCCTGTTAAGCGTATAGTTTCATCTGCTGTAAAATGTAAAACTTTACTAGCAAAATGCGATTGTTAGCCTTTTAATGCTTTCATTTTTTTCCATAATAGATCTATTAGTTGCAATCATCAAGTTATGTGTGGTGAATTAAGTTAAATGAGGTCTGTTCACTTATCCGTCAGTTATATGAGATAAGTTTGAACATTATTTTCCAACAGTTTACGGGTCAGAATGCTAACTGAAGCAGGAACTCAACTTTAGACTAACATTTAGAAATTGATGTCCAAGAAGAAGATTTGACTTTCCTTGGAGGAGACAAAGCAACAAGGGGCTGTAAGAACAATTAAGGTATTCCTACATCCATGTCAGCAAGTTTTCTCGATTTTAAAGTTCATAGATGAGATTGGTTAAGATTTGTAGTTATTTAAACAACTTATTGGGATTAAACAAAGTTCAAAAGTTCAACGATTTGTTCAAATTTTATTCGTCTAACAAATGTAAGTATCTTCCCGGCAATATTAAAAAATGCATTTGCTTCAAAATTTTAATAATAAATTCCTTGTGATATTAATTATTTTAATTTTTTGTTGTTTATCGAAATTTTAAAGAAAAAAAATTTTAGATCTATCCCCTAACGAGTACAACTTAGTGAATTCAAATATTCAATTTTTCTCATTTATTAACAGTCTAGATGTGTCGCAGTGAAAAATGCAATGATACATTTTAAGTAGAATCTGCTCTCTAATAATTTAAAAAAGTCATAAATGTATTAAAACTATTGAAAATCGCTTGAAACATCCAATTAAAATTTTACCATTCTCGCAAAATGTTCCGTAATAATGTGGCCTACATTCACATTTGAACTTGTTGGTTCCATCAGGTCGGCACGTACCTCCATTCTTACAAACATCTCTTAAGTAGCAGACGTCTGCAGACAATAAAAACAATTGTTAATGAAAATTTGCACAAATATCTATACATGTTCAAATAGATTAAAATACATTCTATAAAAAAATTAGTAATCTGCTTTGTCGCATTTTTAATTCATATTATTATTTTTTGAAATACGATATTATACCAAATGCAAGAAATCAAAATCGTGTCTTAGCGCCTACCCTAAAATATTTGCCATTTCTTTCCAGATGTAGTAAATTGAAACAGAAAATTTTAAAACAAATAGAAGTTGCAAGTTTTTTTAGTAGAATCCAATTCAGAGATTCCTTAAGTCCGAAAAAAGATATTCAATCTGCAGCAAACAATCCTATTTCAAAGCAATTTGCAGAATTCCGAATTATGCAACTACTTCAATTTAAATAATAATCTAATATGCATACATGCTAAGTTTTACGCATTTTGAGTAAAATTTTATTTTTGTATTTAAAGTAGTAGTTTTACATTTAATGTATGCTTGCTATTTATTCTTTGCATCCTATGAACTAAATTCCAAATGATTTTAACCACCACTACATTTAAATAAATTTCACATACATATATAAATATGGATAATTACACGACATAAGTTGATTTAATTTTACACAAAATAAAAAGTAAATTATAGCTCGATCTCCAGGAGTTGGCACTTAGCTCCGCCTTCATCACGTGGTATGCGACGATATTATTTCGCTATTTTCGGGAGAAGATTGTGAGCAATCCTGAAAAAGGTTGCTATTTGGCGATCGTATGGCAAAAATATTTATTTCGCAAACTTCGTCTGCATTTTTTTAACATTAAATATTTCGTAAATTTGATGATACTTCGCTCCATTTTTTATGATATTTCTCACTTTTGAGTGAATAGTTTGTCCTTTTTGAGACATTTCGCTGGGAAAACAGCAGTTTTTAAATTTAAAATATGTTTAACTATCTAGAGAAACGAAAGGTACAATAACAGATGATAAAGCAAAGTAAGTGACTGGAAAAAAGTTCACTTTTGTGTTTGGCGCGCATTAAGGGTTGTCTCAATTTCAAAAGCGGAGATGTTTCTCTTTTTACTCCCGCTCTGAAATGAACTCTGCGTCCGAGGAGGTGGAGCCAAGTGCCAACTCCTGGTGAACGAACTATATTGCTTATGAATGTAATTTACTGTTAATCATACTACTACTGGGTGTATATCATCTTCGGAAAGATTAAAGGTGGGCAGATATTTGTATGTATCAAACTTCCATCCAAACAATAAGTGATCAAGAAAAATTAAATGATGCATTTATAAAAACATGGAATGTTATTTAAAGTAACAAATTTACTGCCAGTTTAGAAATATTATCAACAGCATCATCAAATAAAATATTTTTTTCCAACGTCCTCAAAATACTAACACTTTTCTTTTAAGACAAACTGATAGAAAAATTTTAAAAAAAATTGGGAACTCAAATGTTTATGTAAAAAAAATCTGTTAGATAATTCAGGCGAGAAATCTCTTTGAGAACGCTGATCAGAATTACATTTTGTTCAAACGTCATAGCAAATTTAACTGTTTTTTGCGATTTTTTTCACCATTTTGGCATTAAACATTGACTATTTAATCCCTTGTAGTAGAAAATTTGATTTTTCTCTCGATATCTTCATTTCTTCATAAGCTCGCGTGAGTGTAGATGTCAAGAAGGAAGAGAGAGATTATATGTTGCCAGTTACAAATTTGAATATTTACGTAGAAATTTTTAAAAGTAAAAGAAAAAAAAACTCTCAATAAAGTCTCATCAACGGGTAAAATTAATTCACATTTATTTCTGCTTATCGATTCACATAATGTGGATTTCATAAGCTAATTTTTTTTTATAAATACAATCCGAGCGATAAGTAGGAATTGATAAATCCTACATAATCGCCTACTCCGTTTCGATTAATGTATTGGCAAAATGCTTTTATTTAAAACTATAATATATGTGAACCATTGGAGTATATTGCCCAGCACTGGACCCGGGACACAAACCGGTGCAACGACGCCTAAACGACAGAGAATTTTGATGTGGTGGCTTTACGAGGGAAAGGATAAAATTTGCAAAAATGTAATTCTGTGACCAGCTGTCACGGCTCGCTCATTACTCCATGGCTCAGTTACGAATATATGCAGATATTCGCAAGATATTGAGTCTTAATAAGCATACCTTTTTTTTCATGGGGAAAATTTAAAAAAAAAATCCATACTACGAAGGATTACTACAGAACACATCCTTTTTGTTGTAGATTTAAAGAAAAAAAATAGACGTGATAAGAAATTTCAAGGTTACCCTTTTCACATTTCTCTCCATAAAATCCAGGTAAGCAATCACATTTTGGTACTTTTGAGTACATTGTGCACTTCCCTCCGTTATTGCACGGGTTATTTGTGCAAGGCCCTATAAGTACATAAAAATGAGCTTTTTTTTTTAATTCACATTTTTAGTTACGATAACATTAAACTAATTAATAACATTGTAATCATTTTCAAAATCATTTGCTGTATATTAATAACAAATCATACCCTATATAGCATTTGAGATTATTTTTCGAAAAACTTTTTCTACTGTTAGTGAACTGAAAGAAAAATTTTGAAATCGTATCGAATTTGGATTAAGCTTTCAAGACAAGAACATAATCAAAAGATTATTTGAACATTGATATATGTGTTTAAACTATTTATCGGTCATGGTGAACAAATTTGTTTTAATTTTACTTTACAAACATTATGGGGTATTTTGAGTTTGAGATGTTTAAAAAAATACACCTAAGGTAGAAAATGAGTTTATAATTTGCACTTAAAATAACCTCATCAATGAGCCTCAATTTCAGATTCATTTTACGTCATAAAATTTAGGCTCAGCTATGCTTTTAGATAAAATCCGATATCATTCACATCCTGAATATATACTTATTTATTTGAAGTGTAGAAAAAATAACCTGTTCATCTCAAAAACAAAATCTCTATGCTGGTTGCTCTATGGTAGATTTCTATCAACCTCAATACAACCTCAAGAATTTTAAATTAAAAGAATTGGCTAAAAGATTACTTGTATTAGAAAAACTATAAGACGAAACTAGCAAATATTAAAGATACAATGCAAAATTAAGAAAAGTAATTAAATTCTTAAATTAGCTCAGTGTCTAAAAAAAGATCTTTACAAATGTACTTTTTTTCTGAATGCTAACAGATAAACTAAATCTATGATATTGAAATGATGAACTCGATATATGTGTTTCTCTCTTATAACTCCTAAACCGTTAAAGCTAGCGTCACGAAATTTAGAGACTGGTCTTGATAGTGGCCATTCTATCTCCCCTGTGCTAAAAATCGTATTAATATTTCTTTCATATCTTTCGGAAGAGTTGTTTGTAAAACAGATTTTTTTTAATTGATTTAGATGATGCCATTTATAAAAATTAAACAACAGGCGACTTTTTTTTCAAATATTTTTTAAGATAACAACAGTAAAGCTTGCTAGCTTCTAACTCTCAAAAGTATGATGCACATTCTTTAATATTTAATTAATTCTTATCCGTTATGTTAGATAAACTCAATTATTAATATGAAGGTGGTAGCATATGCTGATTAGCTCTTCCAAAGCTCCTCGTGAGTTAATTTTGTGTATAGTTATTTTAAAAAAATTTTCTATGAAACTAAATAATTTAAAACCAACAGAAATTGTACGAAGAAACGTAAAAAAAAATCCTCATATTGTTATTGAAGCCGATGATGCTTTATTAATATTGGTAATAGGTAATACTTAAAAGTTAAAATAAAATAAGCTATGAACTAAAAGGCAGTTATTTTTGGTAACATGCACTACTGATATTATGATAATTTCTGCAGTTTAAAAGGGTACTAAATATACTAATATAGGAATTATGTATTTTGCACATATTAAAACTTAATTAAAAATATGGAATTTTATATTAGATAATGTTTTTTGCTCTTCTAAATTTAAGGGGAAACTAGAAAAAAATCCCTTGATTGAAATTATGATTAGGTCTCGACCAATAGCATCGTGATAAATGATTCTGATTACATTTAATCTTAATTTTTATTGATGACCAAAAACGTGTTTTGCTTAATATAATTAAGGTAAAGCCACCTAGATGGGAAAAATAATTATTTTAGCTCTATTAACAATGTTGGTATAAGTCTTTGAGTTTAGAGCATGATTTCGAAGAGTTGTTTATTACTAATTTATTGATTATTTACGCTTTTTCACCCCGTACGAACATCTAGATATTGCAAAATAATATATTTTTGTTCAATTTAATAATAAAAAATACACTTAAAAATTTAAAAGAAATGAATAATGAAAAATATTATACACTAAATTTATGTAAAGAATATAATAAGGAGAGCATAGTATATAT